TTGAAGCAAGCCAAGATATACCTTCGCAAAGGCGCGAAATGGTCGTATGGTGGGGGTGGGGGCTACAAACGTCTGTAAGATTTTGCGACTTTGCGGAGCTGTATTCGTCTCCGTCAAGCAATTTAAGAAATTGCTCTCGAAATCGGCAACGTTACTAATTTTAGACTCCTCTTTACAACGGTGTCGGATTTTGCCAAATGGGATGTAAAAAATTGAAAAACCATAGAAGGGGCTTATTGTCCCTGAAATTGTAGCTGCTAAAAAGAGGGCTGTGTCTTAAAAGCGTTTTGAAATAAGCCTGTAAAAACTATAAGGGAGTGGGTGTCCCCACCAACCTTGCATTCCCCGTACCTCTTGTATATCCATGGGTTAATCGCTATTTTGGTACAAAGTCATTTCTCGTACTTGAAACAGCTAAGGTTAGCCCACTTCTCAGGTCCACTTACCATTATGGGTAAGACGTCTTAAAAAGTCACGCGAACGGAAATTGCGTGACATAACACGGCGCGATGTCACTGTCACAATCAGCAGGGCCAAGAGGAAAACAAGGTAAACAGACTTCATCATTTATAGCCGGCAAGGTTTACACTGGAAAAATAATATGCGAACATACGATAAAGTAAGTAGTCAGCAAAATAAAATGAACATAATTTATGATACTCGTAAATTCAAGAAAGACTGGTTCACAGTGTGGGCCATTTTTTAACGACGTCTTCATCTTTTCTTCTTTTTTTTTTTTCGTTTCTACAACTTATTTGTCACGATCCACTGCACTAACTACCTAGCCTGTAAACACGAAACAACGAAATTGCTCCCAAAGTGTTCCCGCCAAAAATAAAATCATGCTCATAAAATCAGACACGTAAAACGCGAGGAAAACTACACCTTTCAATAAAAGTGGTCACTAATGTCAAATTTTTTATCGCATTTTGATTTTATTTGAGTTTCAATTGACTTTTTTTTCTGCAAATCATATTACTCCTCCGAAATACATTAACTAATGTAACTTAACAGTAATCAAAGAAAACGTTCGCGCCAGTAACACCAAATTGATTTCCTTATCAGTCTGAGCTTTTTGATCTTTTTTTTTTTTCATTAAAGTCTTGTGAATATATAGTCAAATCAGTCTGAATTAAAAAATTACACCAGGCACTTATTGAAAATGACTCGAATTTGGGTTCGTTGGCTTAGGTTTCTGTTGGCTCCAAGAAATGCTGTTATTGCAGAGCGCGCAAGAGCAAAAGTTTTCAAAATAAGATGGAAAATTTAGATATCTTTCTAAACACAGATGTATAGGCTATTCTGGCTTCGCAATATCAAAATATAATTTGACACAAACGCAAGAACGCATTCAACCTGCAAGTTCATACAATTGAATTGGGTCTTACCTTCTGGTGAATGTCGTCTCTTGTAAAGCCAGGCTCATCAATGATATCTTGGAACTTTTCACGGGTTAATATGGTCTCTTTGAAGATTAAGACAGCACGATTGACAGTTCTTTCTGACGCACTGTTTCTTTTTGACAATAGACTCTTTCATTGAAAAGATAATCACACTCTGCTACTTTGGAAAGAGCCAATCATAAAAACAATAAATCAAAACAGTTACCCTCCTCTTGATCAATTGTTCAGTAGGCTGTAATAATAAAGATCAGCAAAGCGAGAGTTAAACGCTCGACGCAAAGAAATTTTAATGTTATTTTTCCGCCAAGAGTAATTATGACAATTATGGTCTTTTCGCGCGTGAATAATTTGAATTCATTGAACTGCAGTTAACGAAGTTTATGAGTTTACTGAAAGGAAGAGTCGTGTTAAGCACGCGTCATAAGTTGGAATTAAAAAAAGCAACTACATATATAATATTCGTTTCCCCTTCTTTGTGCCCTCAATCCTTATTACCAATTGCGTTCATTGCTAGAATGCATTCAAATTGTGTTCAGAAATCCATCAAATATGAAGAGTGCGTTTGGTAAATATCACGTGCGCGATTTACAGCCCTCACCGTCATCAAAACAAATTCGCCATAAGCTATGATAAACAAACGTGGCAAAGCATAAATTCAACGTACAATTTTCTTTAAATTTTAACCTAACGTACTATTTGCCAACTTCTTCGGCCTGAAGTTAAAATAAATTCCAAATTTTATGCCAAAATCAATAAAGCACGAAAAAATGTTTTACGGTTTAGTCCTCTCTTCAAATCAATGCAGTAATGTTTTACCAAAGAACATATGAATAGTGAAAAAGATACTTCTTTCTTCTAATATCACCACGAAATCAGAAAAGAATACATATTTTTATAAATTTTTTCTTAAATCTAGATAATAAACGCGCTTGTAAATTAACTTCCAATCAATAAAATGCAGAGATTATTTGTAAAAGTTAAATCATTCATTAATCAAGTTTAACTCATGCATTAAAGAACTGTTTCCGCCAAACAAGTTCATAAATATGACTTTAAATTATTTGTTACACATTTTACATGAATATTCGATGCATGACACGCGTCGAGTATTGTTGATTATACTTGAAAAAGTCAAATTCTTCGTGCCACTAGGCTCAGACAAATTGTAACTGATTTAGTACTGAGTGCGTATATATTATTTTCGAGTAAACATTCATTTGGTGAAATACTCAAAAACCAAGCAAATCGATTGATCAATGTAATGATCAATATTTGAACGTGCGAGCATAAGAAATAGATCCCGCTGAAAAGTGTACCTCCGCCACAATACAGTGCATTAAAATTCTTCGCGCCAATATTCTATCTACACTGATTAACCGACAACGGATTCTGTAGCCGTCCATACGTATCCGATTTGTTTGAATGCAGAATTTCTTATCGCGCTTCGAAAAAGATTTGCATGTATACGTTGCAGTATTTTATAAGCATTTTTGCCCATCCTAACGAAAACGCGATCTCATGATGATTGAAAACGGTACCATCTTTGATAGGAGCATGCGCATTCCTAGGTATCTGACACCGTGACGTAATCGTTTTCAAAAAACTCCGTTTTCATGAGCGCGGGCTGATTTCCAGAACAGCGGTAGGCAATCGAGCACAGCAAAACAGCGTTTCCAAAAATCCCCATTCTTGAGAGCGGTTTTGAAAAGATACGTTTTCGTTGACCGTATTCACCGGATACGTGTAGGCGGTCAAGGCCAAAGAGGAGAAAAAAATCTCCGTTTTCAAACAAAAACGGATGCGTAAGAGTATAATTTATAATTATCGGAACTCAAGTCAGTTGTGAAATAAAGTGTTGAAAGGCTAAACTCGACTCATAACCTCGTAGAAGTGTAAAGGTACCTTTTCCTTCTCTTCTTTCCTTCGCTGAGGTTATGCAGTGCTCGGAGTATTCTAAATCTTACTTCTGCCGCTTTGAGTCTAACATCTATTAGAGTTCATAAAGCTTTCCTTGTTTTTCATGCATATCGTGTAATTATCGGGTTACCCTGCGGTCAAGGTCAGCTTTCCAGAATTTGAAAAGTACAACGTGATTGGCTAAGCTTGGGAAAGGAATGTTGTTCTCGGGTGAGCAGGCGTTTGTGTGAAGGACAAAATACGAGCTCCCCTAAAAACGCCTGCGTCGGAAGTTAAACTAGCTCATTATTATTAAATTAAATAATATGCAGCTTAATTTATTTACACATTGACACTGTGGAAGAGATTTTACAGTGAAATAAATTCTGCCTGGAGGCCTTAAATCGTTTCTCTTTTTCAAGAGCATAAATTGTTTCGGCATAGTGATATGTTCCTCTATGCTTAAGCTACTAATTCGCTCTTTGGCAAAAGCTTAAGTTCTGAATATCTATGCACGTAAATTGAAAAATACCTGAAATCTGTTTACAGCTGAGTTAAGCACTACTCCAGCCTCCTTGGCCTTTTTAAAAATTGTTTATAGCGCAATAAATACAGCCTATCCTATTCGAACATGAGCAGAAGCCTAAACTATTCACAGTGATTTTAAACGAATCTGATTTTTATTTACATTTTTATTTTATTATCTTATATTATTTAATTATCTTTATATTTTTCCTGTGCTGATTCTAGTGAGGCTTTTCTACTGGCAGGGAAATCTTAGCGAAATCGCCTCAAAATCTAGTATAGAATAATATAATTAGAAATACTTTCTCTGGACGTACAAGTGGCTTTCAGTTGTGCCATAAGAGACATTATTTTCTTTCCAATTTTCCAGTCCAAAGCTATGAACCTCAATCCATTAAGTTTCATGAAATCTTGGTACCTTGATAGATTGAGTCTCCCACGACTTGCAACGTTAACATATTAGATATTATAATTATTTATTATCAGCGTGCTTAAAAGTATTAATTATCAATATCTTGCTAAAAATACTGCACCGAATATTTCACAATTGTAATTGGACATACCAGTCTTGTAATGTATTCAACAGTTTTTCTTCTTGCAAAAAGAAAAACCCAAAATCTTTCTGCACATAATTGATAGATAGATAAGCTGAATTTAACAAATACGACAGCCTATCAGAATGCAGAATTTGCAAAAGGATAGACCTTTTCACGTTTGTTTTTCAACTTTTGACATGGACAAGTTAGGGAGAATCGATCAACACCAATGAAAAAGGCGCCTTAATATTAATAAAATTCCCAAATTTGAAAGTGATACGTCTTAAGCGAGCGAAGATGTTGCTCCGCAAATTTGTGAAAATTTAAAGACGTTTGTATATTTGGGACACATGTTTATGCCCCCCACCATACTAGCGTCTGTAGAATATCGTGACTTTCAGAAGCTCTATCTTAGTTAGTTTTCAACAATTTCAAACAGCTTTCAAACTAGGCAATATTACAAACCCTAAGTCGCTCTTTTCAGTGGTGTCGACGAATTTTCCCCAAGTTGTCCATGGCAAAAGTTGAAAAAAAACGTGAAAAGTTCTATACCAATGGAAATTTCTCTTTTTTCTGTCGTAGCGTTATTCATCACCGTGCCCACACACAGCGAAAAAGGACTGAAACCCTTAAATTATAATTATATGTTTTCTATTCTCTTGGAACTCCCCATTCCCGGGCCACTTTGGCGACCACTGTTGGTTAACTCGGTGATGTCCATGGATTGGCTGTGTAGACAGGAAATATCGACCTTCCGACACGGCACGCAGTCAAATAATGCCTTGGAAGCCTTTCGATAATCTTGACTGAACATGATATAAATAAACGGGTTTATAGCGCAGTTCAAGTAGACGAGGAAGTTCCCCATAAAGCGAAGAGTTGGAGTTCGGAAGCAAGGCAGACTGTCGAACATAGAAATCAGCATGAACAATCTGGAAGGAAGCCACAGCAATGCGAATGTTAGAACTGTTACGAGGAGCATCTTAAACACGTTCTTTTTTGCTTTCATTTGGAGCTGTTGGTTGGCTGTCGTCGTTTGCCCCGGGATTTTGCGCATCCATATCTTGTAGATTATAGCGCTGTAAAAGACGATTATTTCTAACAAAGGAAGGGCGTAAAACAATATGAAATCTGCAGCGGAGTATACGGTATTGTAGATTATTGGAATATCTGGCTCCCAGAATTCAAGACAGTACCAACTGCCACGGAACTCATAGATTCTATTCACATACAGTAAGATGGTACCTGGAAGAGCTGGGACAAACCATGTTGCAGCGATTAACCAAATTGCTTTCCGAGAGTTGATTGCCCTTCTCAGAGGAAAAAATATGGCGATGAATCTATCTGCTGCTATCACAGCGAGGGTGAGAATGGCTGCATTAAGCGTGCAGCCGTTCAGAAATACGTGAAGCTTGCAGATAATTGTACCAGCTAAGCCTGAAATAATGGTAAAATAATCATAAATTCGAAATTGCCCTCTAATTAAAAGCTTTCTGTTGACTATAAAATAGTTTAAAAACCATTAGATATGCCAAATAACGTTTTACAATAACAGAACGATTTTTCGAGGGGTGATCTGTTTAACTACCCTGGTCCCAGAGTTTTTCTTGATTTTTCTTTGCGACAGAGATCAAGAGCAAGCCGCGAAGCGGCGACAACGAGTCGCGAAAGCGACGAGGAGAGAGAGAAAAACCTCTGGTTACCTTGGCCTCGAATCTCACTTTCATGCTGACGACAGGGTCAGGATCTGACCCTCGGGCGTTGATTGGTTGATAGTTTTTCAAACGCGCAAACCAATTTGATTGGCTCGTTTAATTGTAACTACCAAGGGGACGCTGAGGATTTTCACACCTCATTTTGCCTCTCTCTACTAGGGAAGAAAATTGTTTGTATGCTGCACGGGACCAAGGCACGTAGAGGCACGCCATGAATGTTGTTCCTGAAAGAATATTCGAAGAAATTTTGACCTCGGTACTTAATGAGCGCTTTCCTGAGTCTCACTGAGCAACAAAAGAAAGCTTTGTTCGCTGCGTTGAGTCGAAAGGATGTGTTCACCATTTTATCAACCGGACATGGAAAGTATATTTTCTGTTACAATACTGTCATTCCATTTAATAAACTAACTTGTTTAGGGCAGCAAAATAAAAAATCTCCGAATACGGAATGAAAGTTTCCTTGTAGGAAAAAAAACATACAACTTTGTATAAGTACGTAATCATTTTCGGTGCAGCTTGATTTTCCTGCGACGCCCAAAAAAGATCTAACCAACGCTATTTTTGGCATAGACCTATTCGGCTAACTCAATGTTGTACCCAATTCAAATCTCCCGGGGATAAGATTCTTTGTGCACTGAATTTGCATTATAATGTGGCATTCACATTTAAATGGTATGGAAATTCCTGAAACAAAACGTTTTATTCCCAAAGGGTTTGAATTGGGTACATTGAGTTAGCCGAATAGATCTATTGGGTCAACAAAAACCTCTGAAAGTACATTCCGAACCTTAAGGGTATGTTGTGCTGCATGACTCTTCCTAGCGTCGTTGTTCCACAAAAAAAGGAAATGGAGCCAGATTGCCCGAATACATATTAATAATACTATTTTCAGGGGAATGCCCGCGAATCGACGCGAACGGCGCGTCCCGCAGAAGTAAACAATGTAATAAGCGCGATTGATAGACTCTTGCAAACTTTACAACTTCCCGCTGGCACACTGCCGACAGAACAGATGACAATGTTTGTGAAAAATCGTTGTTATTATACCCAAATAAATTCCTCAAATCCTGCAGCAGTCGTTTGGAACAATGTCGGTTTCTTTTATAAAGTGGTCTTCTTATCCCTGGACTCTTGTCGCCCATCGTTAACACATGCTTTAGCTTGACCCCGATTAACAAATCACTCTTTACCACCCAAGTGGAGATGGTTTGTTCATAACATAATTTCCCCAGGTCTACCCCCACTTAAAAAAATAGCGGCTGATAAGCACGTGTTTGCTAAGTTGCCATTGGTCACTCTTTTTATTAGCAATTTGACGCGTTTGACAGCTGTCGTCTGCATGAAAGTGAGATTCGAGGCCAAGGTAACCAGAGGTTTTTCTCTCTCTCCTCGTCGCTCACACGGCTTGTTTTCGCCGCTTCGCGGCTTGCTGTTGATCTCTTTCGCGAAGAAAAATCAAGAAAAACCTCTGGGACCAGGGTACTGTTTAACAGATATATTCCTTGTTGCTGTGCGTGTCATGGGGACCTTACAATCCGACAACGGCAACGTCCATGAAAAGCTCACTAAAAAATAGCCTCCGCATCCTTTCAAACCATTTCGCGATTATTCCAATTCGCCCAATTACTTGAAAGAAGCTGAAGCTGGAGCTGAAGAGAGGGGGCCGCACCCGAGTTCAGACAGAGATGTTAGAATTTATCGCATTGCCTTTCCCGTCCTCGAAAAAACTTAAAACTTGGTCATTTCACGTCGTAGTCGCACAAGGGTAGCAACGAAATGTACAAACGAGCGTGATGCACGTGCAGAGTTGTTGTTTTGCTAACTAGACCGATTGCTTTTTGACGTTGCCGTCACCGTCGCCGTAATCGATCACAGATGACGTAAAACGTGATTAAACAACGAAGTGGCACACGAGCTTCAGGCGAGTGTGTCACTCAGTCTGACGTTTACACCACATTTTGACGTTTTCCGTGATCTATTACTGAACAGACCCACAGCAACATGAAATCTATTTGTTTCTCACAGTGAGAAGAAAAAACTACATTAACTTGCCTCCTACCGCTTGACTAGCTGTTCGAGGATTTTAGTTTAGATCAGTTTAGGCATTTTTCAAGCTACAAACGTTACTTTTCATCTCTGCTTCGTTAGTCTCCGCTTTATCTTACTTGTATAGAGTTTCTCCGAAAAGTTATTCAACGTACTCACTTGCTCAAAGCAAAAAATTCACGAAAAACATTTTCCGCAAACTGCCAGTCTCTCGTAGCGATGACATACGATGGCAACTGCTGTGAAGATTTCCTCCTGTTTATGCGTTTTGTGACAATTTTGTCAACGAGGAACGATTATATTTGTTAACCGTTCAGTTAAGTCCAAAGAGTGACAAACATCTACTTTCTTTTACCACTATCAATATATCATCAAGAGAAAAGGTTGTGAAAATAAATAAAAATGACGCCCAAAGGAGAAATACTTTGCTCTGTTATCAAATTCTTAATATCAGCTAATTCTTTAAAGTAATGTACGGAGACTAGTGTGGAGAATTTGTATCTGCATATTAGGGTTTAAGGATTAAATAGACCATGGAAAATTGCTGTCTATTTTGTAAGTACCTACCACTGATTCCATAACCCTTATGAGGGGAAATTCTTCCTACGACGTATGGTACGACGTTCATTAGCATGATCATTAGGTTGGCCAAACAAAGGTTGACAATAAAGTAATTGATGGGGCTGCGCATGCGTGGATTTTTCTTTACAATGCTTATGATGACCGTATTTCCAAAGCTGGAGAAAAGAATAATCAGCAGGTAAGAAGTCACCTGCAGCCATATTTCCGTGTCGTTGAAGAGACGGAAGTTACATCCGGACCCGGTTCGAACTGCTGCAGAAGGCGTGAATGAAGTGTTGTTCGCCATTGGGCCGTGCCTGTCAAACTCGTTATGGCTGCACAATTAGAGAGATTGATCTGTGTTTGGCTGACAGTTAAATCTGCAAAAAAATAAAACAAAACAGTTATTCTTTCTTTAATTTGGGGGTAATGTGTACACGTAGAGCAAGTGTTGATGTTAGCATCGCAGTCCAAATGTACTTATAGTCTATAAGACTTTGGTTGTATACCGATTGTTTACCATGTCAAAACGTTTCCGTAAAACCCGGTTGAAAAGTAAATGGAACACGACTTCTTGGGTCGTTCCAGCGGAAAATTTCCGGGAAAAACGAAGCATCTGAAAAGGTAGCCTGTTTTTCGGGATGGAATATTCCAAACAGAAATTCGAGTTCCATTTCTTCAAAGCCATCTTTAGTACCAGTTTCAGGCCTTCGCGGTCGTTTCTCGGTAAATGGAACGGATTTGTACTAATAGTAAACGTGATCCCCGCGCGAAACTTACCAGTCCTGAATTTTGCGTACCATTTACCTAAACCGTCGACCGACTGGTTTGCCAATGTAAATGATAAACAACCTTTGATTCAACCGATAATTGACATTTATAGATAATTGGGAAGACCTTATAAGTATCGCCTACTTGCAGCAAATATAAAATTTACCTTGATTGTGTTACTTGAAATACCCCTTCTTCAAAGAAATGTTAGCACTGAAAATAGGGAAAAGAAGCAATTCTATCAACAGATAAAGGCCTTAGATCGAGTTTGCCGAAAATCTTGCGCAGATTAGTATATGAGTTTCCCCTGGCTTAGTTAGGCCTTGCAGATAAAACCTTTTGAACAGCCAACTTTGTCACTTAATGAGGATAAACACAGTTATGCACAATTTTACAACGGGTAAATTTCATATAGCTATCATTGATACTTAACTTTATAATTTGCATACTGAAAGCACTCTTTAGAATAATCTTAATGTGCGCGATGGAAGCTGTAACTTTTAAAAAAATAATACTGTGCGAGATGAACTTTAAAAGAGACAGCTCCCAGAAGAGGTGTAGCAGAAATAAAGAATTCTTAGGGCATAATGTGCAATTTTTCAAAAGATTTCAACGAGTTTTGTATCAAGCTGTTATGGTCAATCTTACGGTGGCCCAAAAGTGTCACGGCAATTTCAATTTTCTCACGGCAATTTCAACTTGTTCACGGCAATTTCACTTTGCTCACGGTAATTTCAATTTTTTAACGGCAAATAACGCTCACGGCGTTTTTTTTTAAACTTCGGCGGTCGACAGCGGCCACCAAAAGTCAAAACGCAAAATCAAAAGTCAATCTTCAAAGTCGATCTTCAGAGTGAAAAGTGAAAATAAAAAATCGAAAGTCGATTCACGAACACTTATGTCAGTAGACAGTGCGTAGACAAGACAAGAGTTTACTGGTCCCAGAATATTATAAGCTTTATCTGACACTCACCTGGTGGCCTGTTTAATATTTACTGCACGTACAGCATCTCAAAATGGTCCAATCCCTCACATTAAGGTGGCTGAACACAGTTTTGGCAGTTTGTGAGTATATGTCATTTGCCAAATCATGGCAAGGGAAACGTTTCAGCTCACAAGCTGAAACTTGGCAAGTGAAAAATATACTGATGGCAGATTTTGATTGATAGGTAAAATTTGACGTTTTCGTAGTTTCCATGGCAACATGAACAATTGAATACAACTTTAAAATTTCGCTTTTGCTCAGTTTACATAAAATTCGCTCATTAGATTTTCCTATAAACTTGCACACAGCTTACTATAATTAATCATTACCATTTGAAACTTATTTCACCAAATTTTAACAGACGGGTTTTTAGATAATCAATAATATAATTGTACTGTTATTATTCAATGTGCCACAAAACTCATCAGGTCAACTTCCATTTTAAAGTTCTCATTATTTAAAATACGATAAAAGTAAAAATTCTGCTAAATATCACAAAATTTTAATGAGTGGATCTGCGATATCGTCTATGTACCATTGCTTTTTCGCCGCCATGTTTGTTTATCTAATTTAAAACACGCGCCGTCACGCGTGTTACCGCTGACCGCCTACAAAACTGTGTTCACCTTAATCCAAGCATTGAAGCTACTTCTAAGTCTTGTTTACTGATGTCATTGGTAGCAGTGTTCCTATTTTTGCTAAGAAAAAGCAAAAATGGTGGAGCCATACGAAGGAACACGCTATTTATGGACCCGGTCTGAGATTCGCTTTTTGTTTTATATGAGAACGGTACGGTCTCAGACCGGCACGAAAGTAACTCGTGTCGGGTCAGCGACCGGTATAAAGTCAGACCGGTCTGAGTTCATTTTTAGCTCGGTAAACACATGAAAGGAAATGTATGGCGACCGATACGAACTCATAACCAGTCTGAGTTCGTCCCAGTCTCATGTAAATACCCCCTAGTTCTGCTAGATCGTAAATCGACTTTTGATTTGTGATTTTCACTTTTCTCTTTGAAGATCGACTTTAAATGTCCACTTTTGATTTTGCGTTTTGACTTTTGGTGCGTGGCCACTGTCGGCCGCCGTAGCCGACAGGTGGTGAGAGAAACGAAAAATGCCCTGAGCGTTGCCGTGAAAAAATTGAAATTGCCTTCGGAGTAAAATTGCGAAATCGCCCTGAGTAAATTGAAATCGCCGTGAGCAAATTGAAATTGCCGTGGGTAAATTGAAATTGCCGTGATCAAATTGAAATTTCTCTAAACAAATTGAAATTGCCGTGAGCAAATTGAAATTGCCGTGAGCAAATTGAAATTGCCCTGAACAAATTGAAATTGCCGTGAGGAAATTGAAATTGCTATGACACTTTTGGGCCACCGTACTATCTTGCATATTTAGAACGATATTTTCTGGAATTATAAAGGATGTAACAACATAACCGGCAACTCTTGTAAGACTGCTGGTTCATTATCAGTATAATGGTTTGTAAAGTCATCAGGAATCTGTCTCTTAAATGTATCATGAATTAAGTGTTAATGATGACAAATCGGTCCTATTGATCATCCAGCTCTGTTCGTGGCTGATAGAGGAAAAGAGAAGTTTGAACCACAACACTCCTTCAATATTTTTATACATTGTTTCTTTGTTGTTCTAATTATTGTACTTGTCCACTGACAATTTCCAAACAAATTCAAAGATCCCATCTCTTCAGTAAGAAAACTCACCACGTAGGCCGACGACCATCAGCTGTATGCAGCTGTCGAGACTGAGTGAAGACGTACGTACGTTCCACGATGAAAACAGAGCGACTCGCAGCACTTTTATGCCCTGATGCATGCTTACAGAGACATACCCATTGATGTAGAAGCGGTGATTCGCGAATTTTGCGCCAAAAAGAACGGACGTCTGGGTTTCTAATTTCTTTGGGCATGAGTTCCACCAAGATTTCAGATATGTTTGCAACTAATGTGTCGCCAGTCAGGTCATTACGTTGTTGCTGTTTTTGACCACAACCGCAACTGGCTGCATTTGTTAAATATTCCATTATTTCTTGTTTAATGTGGAATCCTGGCATTTGCCAATTAATTCAAGCGCCCAGATTGCACCAGATTACACCTCAGAGAACTTGAATTTTCAGAATTTTCCGGGAGGGCATGTTTCCAGACCCCCCCTAGCATGTCGCGCCTTGGGCTCTCCTAATGGGCGCTAACGCGCCTGTATTGTATCTCCCCTTAACAGAGTAACCTGAAACCCTCCCTTGCAAATAAAATTTTTGACACAATGATCTCACCGATTTTAACTTACAATAGTGAAGTTTGGGGTGCCTTTGTGAAATCAGATTTTAAGTCATGGGATAACTCCGGAATCGAAAAAACTCATTTACACTTCTGTAAACGATATTTAGAAGTCCATAACAAGTCATCCGATGTTGCACGCAGATCTGAACTTGGCAGATTCCCTCCGGTCATTGATATAAATAACAAGATACTTAATTACTTAAACTATCTCCAAGAAAAAGATGAAAATTCTATAGTTAAACAATCTTTAAAAATATCTGTTGACCTTTATCATAGTGGCCAAAATAGTTTTTACTCCAGTCTTAGGAAGATGACTGACGACTATGATTTCCCAGGCTTTAAGTAATGGTCCAGATAAGAAGGAAAGGACCAAAACGCAGTGAACACGTTGGAATGCAAAAAGGTGCTAACTTTACTATTGTCTCTACTAAGGTTCTGATTGGTTTAAACATCAAATTTTACGAAATCTTCGCAAAGCAGCATGTACATTAATCCCTTTTTTTCTATCCAACTTCCTTATAGCAAAATCTCGTCCGAGTCTAAGTAACACAGAAACCGTATGAGCGGATCATGTAAAATTGTGAACATTTCTTGGCCTTTGTTTGCAACTCTTGTGATTGGTCGAAATGTTTTAACACAAAAATACAACCTTTAAAAGTGGAGTTTAAATACATTTTCTTTCGTAGACAGCCTTTTTGTAGATTTATGCACTCTCTGCGTAAAAATGAAAACATTTCTATGTGAGGAAAGCGTATTGCGCCACAACAAAAGAAATTGCTTCCCTTCTTACGTGGATCATTACTCAATGTGCAGCCAGCTGATTTGCATAAAATTTTTTCGCGCTTCAAAGCTCGTCATCAAAACTATCAAACGATGAACATTCGAAATAAAATGTGAACTATGGAGACAAAACAAGTATAACTGTCAATGGCAAAGATATAATGGTATCAGACAATTTAGAGCTCCAAGGCGTAACTATTGATTGTGGTCTGAATGTTAATTTACATATTCGTAATGTTTGTAAGAAAGCTAGCCAGAGAATAGGTGTGATAATGAGGCTGGGGAATCTCTTACCAAATGAGGCCAAATTACATCTCTTTAAGGCAGCTATTCTCCCACATTTAACATGTTGCCCCTTAGAGTGGCAGTTTTGTAGAGCCTCGGACACGCGTAAATTGGAGAGAGTACGGGAGCGTGGACTGCACACTGTATTTAAAGACGAGCAGTCTAGCTACCAACAGCTGTTAGTGAAAGC